TCGTGAAAAAAAAGGAACTCGTTCTGCGGCCACACCCTTCATTGTGACTGTTTGGTCGTAGCCTGCTTTTATGTATGACTAAGCCCTATTTCGCGCCAAACTTTTGGGAGTGTAGTAGTTTTCACATGATTAAGCTTTCCATTAAGCTAATCTATGGTACAAATCTCAACTCATTCTGGAGAAAGAAGAATTTTATTAAGAACAGAATTAAAATAATAGAAATAAGAATATTTTTGATTTTCAAGCATGCAAACGTCAAATAATATGTACATTGAGTAATTCCTAGTACATATAAAATGCAAGGAAATAAGAGGCACATAAAGAAAAAACAAGGAATTCTGATATTTGTGTACGATTTTAAACGTGATACAACATTGAGATTCCGTTCCTTTGATTTTAATTTAGCTTAAAAATCCTCTTCTCTAGGTGCTGCGTTTACCAACGAAATCGTGGAATTGTTATGGGACATGGAAGCACACAGCAAAGACAAGGTGAGTCACAACAAGCTTCTCCTATGAGGCATCCACAGCAGAGGGCAAGCAGGGAGGTCAACCACCAATCATCTCGCTGAGGTGGAGGCTGTTGAACGTAACTGAAAATAATTTGGTGTCACGTATGAACACCAGTGTACACTGGTATATAAAATGAAGCTAAACCGTTGCTTTACAAGATGAGATATTGCGTAAAAGTAAGCAATTATCTATGATTAAAAAAATCAGCACAGTCTGTCACATGCCTCCTTTTTTGATAAAACGAAAGATATTTTATATTGTAAAAATTATAACCTCCTGTATAGAATTCTTAAAAATGCAAAGTGCCGGCTTTGAGTAAAGACCGTATGACAGTTATAATTATCTTATCTTGAAATGAAAAAAGGGAGAAAGTAACATTTGGAAAAATTATCTTTTGAAATCGTAAGCAAAATTCAGAAAGGCAGAATTTTGAAAAATTATTGCTTAGCAATGAATGTTTAGGATAGATAGTCAATGGTTTCAACACAGCAAAATATAGTTAAGGTTGCCTAAGTAAAGCCTTGCAGCTGAGAAAACTCTCGAAAGAACCCGCAAATTTCGAAACGAAAAATTTAACTTCACGGCACATTCCCACAAAACTTATAAAAGGCCATTTTTAAAGTGGCGTCTAATACCCTCTCAGAATGAATGAGGATAGACTGGGAAAATAATGCTGTGCTTTCACTTATCTGAAGGATTGCTAGTAGGAAGAATGAAGGCAATAGCAGGGAAAAATGAGCTTAAATACTTTGAATTGAAGGAAAAGTAGGAGATCACTTACACTGTCTCTGGATAATATTGTCCTTGTGGATAGACACCTTGCGGAGGGTAAGGATTTTGATTTTGTGGGTAGTATTGACCCTGCAATATATATTCTAAGAATTATCAGCAATAGAGATCCAATGGATACTTTTACGCAAACTGTTGTGTTATAATTTCAAAGATACAGTGAACGCAGAAAGTAGTAGTTTTGTATGTAAT